GGGAGGGGTGGAGGTGTTATGTTAAAAAGCATCATGTACAATCAGATTTAAAGATTCAGTCCTTCTGATAAGCCACCCAGACATCTGACAGCTTACTTGATCATCTTTAAGGGGAAAAAAAAAATATCAGCAACAAAAAGCCTTTAATACAGCCACAAGAAAACTTAAAAGGGATGAACAGATGCAATTCAAAAGCATAGAAGGCTCTTGTTAGAACCAAGATGAAATTCTGAAAAGGCAAAACCAAATAAGAACAACATTCTTAAAGATGGATTATTTTCCCTCAGAATTTTCAAGGTAAGATATGCTTTAGTCCCCCAATTTCTTTGGCCCATGAGCAATAGCCAAGTGAGGTGTTCAAACAACTGTGGGACTTGACAGCTCCGCTGACCCTAAACTCTAGATAACAATCTCAAAAAAACCCATACAAACCCCAAAACCAAAGAGAAACCCCTCAATCAAATAATTTAATAAAAAACCCACAAGGATATTGCCATGCATTTTCATTGATGTTACTGAACAACGAATTAAATGCACAATGGACTGTGAAATGCTTGCAGATCTTCCCCCAGTTAAATGTCAAACCAAGAAGCCATCTGTTAATAAACAGAGACATCACCTCTCTGGAGTTTTATCCAACCTACTAATACATTAACTTATACCACCACTTAGGACTCCGGATTGCCAAGGCAAATGAAGCCTTTTGGTTTTTCATCTCAACAGCTTGGGTAGGCAGAAGGTGACAACACCTGGACCACACAGCACATGCATAATCCGAGCCATGAAACCAGCTTTGTGGTTGCAGAGTAACTGATTCTTGAAAAACTTCCTAAAGTGCTTGCAAAGACATCTTCTGCCTGTTTAAAAGCCTTTCAGACAAAACCATTGCCATTTGACATATGTGGGGGGAAAAAAATCCTCAAAGTCACCCACTTCAGTTTTTTTTTAGGTTTATAACTTCTACCCATACAGGACATGTGCACATGAGGTCATGAGAGAAAAGTTCCAGCTGCTGCTGATGCGTGTCAAAACTGCACAGAAAAAAATTCACAGCTTTTAAACTACATAATTGCACAAGACTGGAAATAGAAGTCAAAACTACTGCTTTTATTGCCCTACAATTCAACAGGCCCAACATTAAGTTTATACCAATTTGTCTCATACTGATTAAATGAAGATAGCATGTTAAGTTCAACACACACTGTGACAACACACTAAGGAAGGCCAAATTACTGTTATATATACTGTTATATATACTGTTATATTTAAGAGAGATGTTGCATATTTTGGACTTCCAGCTGCAATGAGCATAATCAGATCCATTAATGAGAAACTAAGTAACTAACACAAGCTGAAGGAAATCATACCCTTCTACTATCAATCATTCCAAGTGTCACGTATCTTCAGGAAAGAATAAGCTTTTATTTGCTTTTCAGGCCTAGTTTAAACCCTAGCAAAAGATTTCTAACTTGTCCTGATTCAGGATGGTACACTTCACCGTGTATTTCCATTGCACTCTTTTTACCAGATCAATAGGGTTTATATTTTCTGCCCTCTGCATTCTCCCTGTGGTTGAATACATTTGACCAATAACAATTTTCCTACAGGGCAAACATTGGTTAAAAAACTGGTCCTTCATAAATTCTAAACAGTGATGCCAATAGGAATGTATGAGCTAGATCTTCTTTATATACAACTCTTAGATGTCAGAAAGAGATACTATCTCTTCTTAAACTATCTAGAAGATAAACAAGAGCCCTGGGGAAAAAGATGTGAGGAGTTCACTCCTCAAATTTTTACATATTTAAAACAGTCAGTAGGTACAGACAGAATATTAAGCTTTCTGCATCCCTTCTCTGAGACACAGATTACATTAACAATTCCTCTAGATAAAGCAAGATTAGCGTCAGGTTTATGAGAGCTTTCTTCAATCCAATTCAACATGCAGACCTAATCCAGTTTAACTAGAAATATGCTAGTCAGGTCTGTTCAGCAATTAGAATGAACATACCCTTGTTATAAAAAAGTAAGTTCTGGAACAATTCAGTTTAAGTGCTAAACATCTCATGGATTTTTATTTAAAATCATGTTGTCCCAGGCAGTTTCCATGTACCTAATCTGGAAGAGTGGTTCTGATGGGTCTGATTGAAGGTCCAGCACAGAATTAGGACATCTTAGGGGCAGAGTTTTTCTACGGCTTCCTGGATTATTGTAGGATTGAGAAGGCTTTTAAAAAAACAGACAGAAAGAATGACATCTGCAACATTAAGATAACTGCAACTGTCAAATAATACCAAAGCCATTCACTGCAAATTATGTAAATCATAGAATAGTTTGGGTTGGAAGGGACCTCAAAGATCTTCTCATTGCAACACCACTGGATACCTTCCAGTAGACTAGACTGATCAAAGCCCCATGCAGCCTGGCCTTGAATATGTCCAGGGATGGGGCACTCACTTCCCAGCTTCCCTGGGCAACCTGTTCCAGTGCCTCATGGCCTTCACACTAAAGAATGTTTTCCTAATAGCTAATCTAACCTACACTCTTTCAGTTTGAACCCATCCTTCCTTGTCCTTTCACTTCATGCTTTTGTAAATAGCCTTGCCCTATCTTTCCGGTAAGTTCCCTCCAGGTATTGGAAAGACAGTTACATCATCCCGAAGCCCTCTCTTTTCTGGGCAGAACACCCCTCAAACCCTCTCAGCCTGTCTTCATAGGAGAGGTCCTTCAGACCACTCATTATCTTCATGGCCCTCCTCTGGACTACACCAACAGTGCCACAACCTTCTCATGTTGCTGTCAACGCACTGGCCAGGCTTCTTTGATGCAGCCCAGAATACATCTGGGCTGCAAGTATTCATTGCTGGGTCATGTCATCTTTGATGCTAACCAACAGCCCTCAAACCTCTTCCTCAGGGCTGCTCTCAATTCATTTTCTACCAGCCTGTACTTGTCTTTGGGATTTCCCCAACCCAAGTGCAGGACCCTGCACTTGGCCTTGCTGAACTTCAGGAGGTTTGCACAGGCCCACCTCTCAAGCCTGTCCAGGTTCCTCAGGATGGCATTGCTTCCTTCCAGAGTGTCACTGGCAAACTTGCTGAGGGTGCACTCAATCCCATATCCATGTCACTGACAAAGATGTTAAAAATTGCTGGTTTTAATACTGATCCCTGAGGAAAAGCACTGGTTTCCACTTGGACATCATGCCATTCACTGCAACTCTTTGAGTACAACCATCCAGCCAATTCTTAACCTGCTGAGTGGTCCGTCTGTCAAATCCATGTCTCTCCAGTTGAGACAACTATACCATGTGGGACAATGTCAAACTCTTTGCACAAGTCCAGGCAGATGACATTGGTTGCTTTCCTTTATCCACCAACACTGTAACCCAGGTCATAGAAGGCTATCAAATTTGTCAGGCACAGTTTGCCCATGTTGAAGCCATTTTGTCAGTCATAAGCCACCTCTTTCTTTTCTGTATGCTTTCACATAGCTCCCAGGAGGATCTAAGCTATGATCTTGCTGTGTCCAGAGGTAAGTCAGGAAGACTGATTGCCTTCACTTTTTACTTGTTTACTTGGCCTTAAACTAGTGATGCCAATTAAAAAGAAAACAAGTGGAACACTAGGAATAAGATTTTAATTGGATAACTAACTTCTTGATGACACAATTTGATTGAATAAATCAAAACAACTAAATTCACTTGTTCCCAGGATTGCAAAGCTTTTTGACCAGGGGCATGTCGAAAGTGAAGCTACAAGGCAGAAACTTGGACGCTAACTACAAAGGTGGAGCGAGGTCAGAAGTGCTTCAGAAGGTGCCAGGTGGACTCTGTCCCCTGATGAGTACTGAGGCTGATGAGTCTGGGGAACTCAGCATGGTGCTAATCATCAATCCGTGCTGGCGCCAGCTCCCAGAAGCTGAATTCCAAAGAGAAACCAAGCGTCCCAACAAGCACGTGGCTGGTGACCACAGCTCTGCTGACACATTCCTGGGGGCAAACTCTGCCCTGTATTATGGTGGTGTCAGGCTGAGCAGAGCGGGGGCTGACCATCACGTTGATGCTGAGATTTTTTTCTTAACTTTTAGTAACATTTATTAAGCACAGACACTTTTAGACATTACAACAAGAAGTAAGTCTTCCCTCAACCACCTGAGATGGAAACTCCAAGAGATCCAAAAGTTATATCTTTCCAGAGATTCAACTGCAGAGACAGAAACAGAAATACTTGATTTCAACAGATAACTAAATTACTATCTGCCTAAAGAAAGTAAGCCCCAGGTCCACAAGATCCCCTGGACAGCTTTCCAGTCTCTCTGGTTGCTCCAGGACTTGAGTAAGTATGTGTCCTCTCCATCCATCCATCCATCCATCCATCCATCCATCCATCCATCCATCCATCCATCCATCCATCCATCCATCCTCCGCTGCCTCCTGGGGCAAGGACTCCATGGCCTCTTTTGGTAGCCAGATTTGAGCAGTTTTATAGACAGTTAGAAAGCTTTTTGTACCATTAAGCCACTGATGGTTAAATAAAATGTCCATTTTCAACTCCTTATTTCTACATGTTTGATCAATTGAAAAGTAAGAGGCTAAACCACTTACTATACAAATACTGGTTTTTGTTACAACAGACACTCTCTCAATCACTTACTCAGGCTATGTGATTTTATTTTATTTTATTTTCAACAAGGATTAACTGCCCAATGTCAAATCCAAGTTAGACTCATACTTAAAGAAAACACTTTAACTAACACTCCACTAATCCTAGCTACCCCCTGGCCTTACTACAGCTAATAATACCCTTTTTCTTGTTTGTTTGAATTCTTTTTCCCCCTAGTATTAGCCATTTAAATAGACCCTCCACTATAAGCTGAGCTTTACAATTTCCTATGGTGCATAAGAAAACCTGCAAGAAAAGCCAAAATAAATATCCACTACTGAGTTGAACAAAAAGGTAGAAGTGAAGAAGTAGGAGGAATACCACACTGAGGTTGTTTGTTTACTTAATTTCATCATAATTATTTAGACTCTCATCTCACTAATAGCTGTGCAGGTGCTAACTTTACTTCAAGAAGGACCTAGAGTTTTTGTTTGCATAAATCAAGTACATTTAATCAAGTGCACATTAGCTCATCAACACATTGGATCTGATGAGAAATTGCATAAGTGACAATGCCAAGCTATTTCGGTGAATATTCATGATATCTCTGCGGAACAGGCTGACTGGAGGAGAGTGAGAACAAAATGACAGTAAAAGAACGGTAGCAATTACTTTTCTAGCAGTTAATGTTGCCATTAACTGCTTGCTGGCAAGAGTTTAAAGTTGCAAACCCCAATTTAAGCTTGTTACCTTAATTTTACAATTGTAATTCAATATTCTGAATGTAACACAAGTGTAACAAATATCTTCATTCAGTGCTTCATACAATAAATAATTTAAAAATATTAAAATTATAGCCATTACAAAAATACAAACACTTGGTATTACATCTTCATAAAAATAAACAAATGTGCAAGTCTTTTTCTCAAAACTGAGCCAGAATCCAAACCCGTTTGCAACAATTAAGTGGGACTTTTTCATTCTCAATAGGCATTCATGAAGAGGTCTCCCTTCAAAATGTAATTTGTCCTTAGTGATCTTCTGCATGCAAGGCAAACAACTCCCAGTTTTGTAAAGCTATACAAAGCCTTTAGCCAACTTCCAACATCATCTGTAGAAAATTCAGGCAGAGTAATGCTGTGCCCTTAGTGAGGATATTTTACATAACAAGTCTTCAAGTCAGATGAACAAAGCAAGACTTAGATAAAAGAACAAAAAAAACTTGGATCACTTTCTGATTCCTAGAATGGATGAAGGAGGAAAGGAAGAGAGGGCTGTTTAAACACACCATCTACTACATCCTTCTGAAGCCCAGAACCTTTTGTGCTGCTGACCAACCTACCAAGAAGGTCACACAGCCTCTCCTTGTGCAGAGCTGTCTCCCCGCTACCACTGCCCATCAAGTCCTGGTACGAGGTAGTTCACTGGACTCACCAGTGAAATCTGCCATTTCAGAAGAATTTAGATGCTTATGGACTATGGTTCACAACTGCAGCTCAATTCAGCTGACCCAAACTGTTTGCTTTGTCCCTCTGTCACAACAGAGAGATATACAGGAGATTCATGCTATCAGACTTCACAACATCACACACTAATACAAAGAGCCAAAAAATACAGTTTACATTCATAGTCTGTAAACTTTGGCAGATTCAAAGTTCAATAGGAAATAACCCTGAATGGCAGAGTAACCTCTGGCAAAGGGACAGGATGAACAGGTGAATACATCAGCTTCTGGAGCATAAGTCAGAGTCGCAAGTGTATTTATTTACTGTGCTATCCTTCCCATGCCATGACAATCCAGGAGTATCAAAGAAGCCTGGTTATCAACACTGTTGTAACAGACCATCATGAGCATCCAAAGCTCATTGCACATTTTGGGGGTTCAGGCTACTATAAAATACAGTATCACATTTTGATGGGTTGACCCTAGCTTCTTACAATAATCTCAGATGACTTAAACAGCTTTTGGTACCAGAAGCCACCATTCAAATTCTTTTCCCAAACACTGACACCATTCAGTTTCTGTATTTGTTTAAGTCATATATTTAAAGAAAGACTATTTTCTACTTCACAGGCAATCAGACTAGGCTTTAGATCCGCAAGTATTCTAGGTAAGGAGGACAAACCATGCTAGGCTTGGAAGTAGACTTCCTTCCTCCTTCCCTTTTGTTTTGGCTGGAACCATGTTCTATTCCGGTATATCCATTGTAGGCAGCAGCCCCCGTACCCAAGTGTGCTGGATCTGTCTCACAACTTGAGAGGCAGGCAGGGCATTAAGCATCAGCCCAACATGCATGTATAATCTCACTCCCTGGCAAATAGCGAACAGGTCTTCCAAAGGATTTGCCTATAACAAGGTACACAACCCTGCTCCTGCAAGACCAGTTGCATGTTTCAAGCTTTGGGGGAGGAAAAAAAAAGAAGAAAAAAAGAAAAAAAAAATTCTTTTTCCAGCCCAAATTTAGAGTTGACATCTTCTGAAAACAACTGTAAAGAAAGATGAAGTCAATCCTAGGTACATACCAGCAGCCTATTACTTACCAACCTTTGCTTCCTCCTAGATTCCATTGTAATGAGAACATAAACAGTAAAATAGGCATATATCTCCCCTGAATGAATTACCTATTCAGAGTTCCCTCTGGTGTTCAATAAGCTCATCATCACATTCAAGGTAACAGCCCTCGTTACAAAAGCGTAAGTTCCCTCACGAGCAAGTTATCATTTGATGAGGGGCTCAGCCATAGGGGCAGGACCACAGCGTTGTAACTCGTGGACAAAAGCAATGCTATTTTCCATCCGATTTCAGAGAGGCGATAAACTTGCACTTCCTCCTTTGTATATTCAACCGAGTGTCTGGTTAGCCCCAAAAGGACCCAAACTGTTAAAGATCCTTCTGCCTCCCGGTGTCACCAAGACCGACGAAGTCTCGGAGATGGCAAAGTCACAAATTACAGGTACAGCCCATCTGAACGCGGCACTCAAAGATGTTCTGCACCTCCCAAATAACTATGCCTTGAGTCACAAGCCTTTCTTTCCAGCCTCGCACTCCCATTCGTCTGCACGGAACATGAGCAAAGTACAGTGTATCTAATTAACAGTTTGGAAAGAAAGTTTAAAGCTGCCTCTGCAAAGAGACAGAACACGCTTGCAGGAAAATCCCAAACGAGTTCCCGAGTCGGCGGCGCGCAGGCGGAGCGCGGGGTGGGCGCCGGGCCAGTGTCAGCCGCGACCCCGGGGCTGCTGAC